GATAAGCAAACAATCGCGGTAAACTAACTTATTGAATAACCTACTATAAAAAAATAACTGTTACTAGACCTACAAGCTACAACAGCTGATGTCTGATCACGGGCCATAGAGTAATATTACTCTGTCACGGGSGTGCACCTAATTCAAATTCTACCATAGAGCTTTATATAGGTRCTTATCTATGGAGCAGACTGAGCAGAGATACGGTGGTTTTATAAATGAATTTAATTTTACTGTATAGTTTACTATGATAAAACATAAAACCACAGAACAATAAAACTAAATTTGTGTAAATATAAAAATATAAAATATAAGACTATGGAAAATGGAAATGGCACAGAAGATAGATTACAGATATTGAAATATTATATACAACAATGAACATATTATCTAATATCTATTCTGTAATGTTGTATTATGGTTTTATGTTTTATCATTTATCTTAACATCACGTCAACCGTTGTACGTTACTGTTATTTTTTTTCTCATATTTCAATATTCAATTTAGATAGTTTTGAATGTTTTGATTGTTTTGAATGCCCGAGTCCGGAGGTACTTTGTAAGTTGTCAATGACTTCTAATAGCTAATTATTAGTTAATAGTTATAACAACAGTAGTTCAAGTCCAAACTCTGAAGTCTCTGATTAAAAGTTAAGAAATGATGGTAGTCAAGACTTGTCAACATTGAAGAATTCAACGCGTGTTAACCCATAACAATTAACAAGTAACAATCAACACAATTTCATGGTTTTACATGGTATACACAAAACATAATAGTTCATGACACATAAACACGTATTTTATGATGTCTGAAATTCGATAAATAGTATTTTATAAAGATAAAAATTATGTAGTGAATCGTATATGTACTAATCTGAGCCCGTCACATTATAATATAGGTATTAGGTATTGATGAGTTTTTTAATATATGGTCATGTCACGTAGATAAAAAGAGCAAATAATATAAATATTTTCAAACCACATCAAACTGTTTTAAGTGTTATAGTTGCTTACTAGGTATTTCATATTATTCTTATTGTTGAACAGACAACCGGCAATGTTTGATTAATGATTATTGATAAATGATAATATAAGTATACTGCATAATGGTTATTGACACTATATATTATATATATTGACATTTAATGACAATAATATATTTTAGATCTTTAGATTTTAGTAATTTATACAATTAATATTTATTGTAAACTTTTTGATCATAATGATCATATTAAATGTGGCAAAATATTTTCAATTATTCAAGTTTATAAAYTAATGTCATATGATTGTTATTTTTTCTGTAGCTGTGAATTTATTAAACATATTTAAATATAATAGTTTTTTTTWAATTGTACGTCTGTTTTGTAAGTATACTGGTTTATACTTGGGTTATTACCTTTAATATTTTAAATTAAACTTACTTACGTATAGGCATTTATGAAAAATATATTTTAAAATGTTATTAATTGAGTTGCTACTATAATTACTTATTTAGTCTGTATAAAATTTAAATTAAATTTAATGGTATGTAATTCTATTGAAAAATATTATTTAAATTGTTATTAATAAGCATCTACTTGAAACATTTAGAAATTTTTCTGCATCATAATTAGATACAACCATCAAACTAATTATTTCTGTAACCAAGAATTCAACAATAATTACTATTATATTAATAAGTATAGTTACCAGATAAAAACACTATAGGTAGTAACACTATGTAGTATGTTACTAGCACATTTTAGAAAGAGTAAATAAATAAACATGCTTTATTAGTTCTATCATATTAATATATTATATTCTCAATTCACTTAGGTACTTTTGCTTATTGAAATTCCTATTTTATAGTTTTAATCTATAATGCATCTACTATTGTTAATTTAATGATAGACTAAATAGCACTAGATATTACAATTTGTAAGTTAGTTTATATTAACTATTATATTAATACTTAAAATGTATTTTTTTTTTTTAAATCTAGAAAAAATAATTTCCGATCAAAATGGACAAAAGAAAAAATTCTAAAAGGTAACTGGTACAAAAATACAAAAATATCTTACACTTACCTATAATACTTTATTAAAGCCTTATTTATCAAATATTTTAGCTTAAAATAAAAAACAATTAAAATAAATGTTCCTTTTGTATTAAAATATTTTATCCTATAGTAGTTCTGTATTAAAACAGATTACTGATTTAAGCTTGCAAACATCCATCAAAAGGTTGGCCTGAATCTTTTTAAAAAAAAAACGACCACAGTTACCAACCGACAATGACATATTATACACTTTTCCTTTGCAAATATTTTTACAATAATTGGTATTTATTATTTATTAATATAATATAACCTAATAGAGCAAACATAAATAAAATCAATTTAGTTACAAAAAATGAAATATTATAATAATTTAAAAGATTATAACTATACTCTGTCCAGCTAGGAAGTGTAACTCCAAAGAAAGTGCAAAATAAAATTTTTCTCCTAACCTAACCGCTAACTATGGCCATGTCTGGGCTGAGGCTTGTTTTGGCCGCTGCCTAGTTATGCTCTCTCGGTGAATAGAGTGCAATATTATAATTATTTTCAGTTTTTGTAAAAAAAGTATAGTTACATTATTTTAATTACTTCATAAATAAATTAATAGTCATTATAGCTTAATTTCAACTATTTTTCTTGAGTTGTTAATTTTATTTATAAAAATGATAAATGTGCCCACAACTTATGAAAAGTGTTATCTCACGATCTAAATTAAAGGAAAACAGTGATTTTAAGCTATTCAATAAATAGATAATTTCTCAAAATTATTTCTGAATTAAATTTATTATTAGTGTTACAATAATATTATTTCTAGTATACTGAATTGGCATTATTTGTGAATTGGTAAATTAAAAATGTATGTTCAAGAAAGAAATTAGAGGGTATTGATACGCATCAAATTTTTCCTTGAA